CCCCAAAACCCCAAAACCCCAAAACCCCAAAACCCCATTTTACTTTAAAAATATTTAAAATTTATAAATAAAATTAAACAAGCATGTTTAGTGACGAAGAAATTAAGGAGATGCTTGTGGAGGCAGCCTCCCAGAAGGTCTCCGCTCAATTGAATATCGGGGAGTTTTGTTGGTTCAGAAATGAGGAATACGATGAAAATGACATGAGCGGCGACTCTTACCCCTTTTTTGTAGGGAAAGTTAAGGATTTGGATGAAGAGAATGAACTTGTGACTCTTGAAACTAATACTGATAGGTCACCATGTAATGAATACAAGTATTTAGAAGGACCCTTTCAGATCTCGAAGACTATGACAATGGAGTACTCTGAAGATGCTGAGGAAGGAATCAGAGATATGATCGATCTTAATGAGCTAAATCATTCCACGCTGCTGTTTAATATGAAAAAGAGATATGTCAGAGATGATATTAATACTTTTGTAGGACCAACTTTGTTGATCATTAATCCTTTCAAGAAGATCCCCAATGTAATGTCTGAAGAAACTATCGAGCGGTACATGTCTATTATTACAGCTGAAAACATGCTTCAAAGGAAGAAGGAGCTAGATCCACATATTTTCTCAGTTGCAGCAACTGCATTCAGACAATTGAAAGAGAACAAGCAGAAGCAAGCTATTGTCATCAGTGGAGAGTCTGGTGCAGGGAAGACTGAGAGTGCTAAGATTGCAATGAAGTTCCTCACTGCTCTTTCCTCCCTCTCGGGAGAAGGTAAAGAAGAGAAGAAAGTTGAAGAGGGAGAGGCTACAATTGAGAAAAAGATTCTGGATTGTAACCCAGTCCTTGAAGCTTTTGGAAATGCTAAAACTGTCAGAAATAACAACAGTAGTAGATTTGGGAAATACGTAAAGCTCGTATTTAACCTTAGGAGAGGAGATATTCTAGGTGCAGAGACTCTGAACTATCTTCTTGAGAAATCAAGAGTATGTAAGCAGTCCTCAGAAGAGCGAAACTACCATATTTTCTATCATCTGATCAAAGGAGCTGATCTTGAGATGCTTAAACAACTCAGGCTAACTGTTGATGATGAGAGGCCAGATTATACCATGTTTAACTATTTAAGAGAGGGCACAGATTTTCCTGACGATACTGTCCTAGATGACAAGGCACTATATGATGAACTAATCCAAGTCTTCAAGGATTTAAACTTCACAGATGAGGAACAGTATGGAGTCTGGAGAACAGTCGCAGCTTGCCTTAAAATTGGAGAAATTGAATTCTCAGAAGAGAACTTTGATGAATCAGGAGTTCCTTGTGACATTACCAACAAAAATATCCTTGAGGATGTTGCCTTCCTTCTTGGAATGGAAGACCCTCATGATCTAGAAGTAGAAATTGTTAATAAAGAGCCAATGACTGGAGTTACAATTAGAGCACCTTTGAAGTTACAAGATTGATACGATGCCAGAGATTCTTTAGCTAAAGATTTATTTAACAAGCTCTTCTGATGGTTAGTTCAGAGGATGAATCTCACAATCCTGCCAAAGTTTATGCTGAAAGGAGGAAACCCATCCCAGGCATCGACGACTAAGACTATCGGATTGCTGGATATTTTTGGATTTGAGAGGTTCAAGCATAACTTCTTTGAGCAGCTTCTAATTAACTACACAAATGAGAAGCTACATAAACTGTACATTTCAGCTGTATTTGATGCTGAAAAGGTGGAATTGAGCAATGAAGGTCTAGGGCATTGTCTAAAGAACCTTAAATATCCTGATAACACCGGAGTTGAAGTTATCAAACTTCTTGATGAGAAGCAAAGAATTGGTCAGGCTAATACCAAGAACGGAATCTGTACAGTTACAGATGACTTTTCAAAGTCCCAGCCAAGGCCGAACTTTGATGCTATTATGGACTTCGTTATGCAAAATCATGGAGATAACCCTAAAATTCAGATTGATTTTAAGAAAGATAAGAATAGGGATAAGTTTACAATTGTTCATTCAGCAAAGGAAGTAAAATATGATATTAAGACTTTTATCGTCAAAAATGTCGACTCTATCAGTCCAAGCCTTGAGAAAATTGTTGCGGCCAAAGGTGATGATCAGATCAGTATGATCTACAGCAATTTCGTCCCTGGAATTAAAGTTGACGAAGATGAAGAAGATTCATCTCCTCGAGGAAAGAAATCTAACTTGAAGACCATCTGGTCAAAGTTTAGTGTTCAAATGAAGAACTTAATGCTTGAACTTGCTGAACCCCTTCTCGACCTTGGAGAAGGCAATGCTAAAAAGAAAAAGGCAGTATGTGAGCCTTGTGAACTCCACTTTTTACGCTGCATCAAACCAAACGAGCTGAAGGTTTCTGACTTCTTTGTAGACTCCATGACTTTGATGCAGATGACCTACATGGGAGTTCTGGAATCAATAGAAGTAAAACAGAAGAACTTCCCATACAGAAGAAAGTTCCAGGATTTCTTTCATAGATACGAGGATTTATGCAATAGCACTGCTTCAAAGCGATACGACACTCTTGTCAAGGAAGGTGCTAACTTCAAGAAATTATGTGAGGAAATTCTCGAGACCTGCTTTAGAGGCCTCGCCAATGGACTATTTGCATTTGGACACAAGAAGTTATTTCTAAAGAACGAGCTTGTCTTACTCATGGAGAAATGTAGAACCAAGGCACAAGAGAAGAAGGCATATGCCGTAGATGTCATCCAAAGAAGTTTCCGTATCAAAATGAACAACTCGAAGCATCATGATAAGATGATCAAGGTTCATAGGATCCAACTGTTCTGGAGGAAGCGGGAGGAAATGATAAGAGCTGCAAAAATCAAGAAATTTATTGATAAGCTCAAAGACATTTTCAGAAGGACTAGGATCCAAGTTAATCGTGAAAAATTCGAACTCGAGTCACGCAAGAAGATTATTAAGTGGATGAGGCTCAATGTGTTCAAACAGAAATTACTAAGATTCTCCTTGAATGGGAAAATAGTCGCAGATCTTTTTGAAGAATCTTGGTTACAAATTCGGGAAGAAGCTGAACTCAAGACTGCAGTCACTGTCCAGAGAATCTTCAAAGGATTCCTTGAAAAGAGAAAGCACGATAAAGCAGTGAAGCTTGGATTAAAGGCAAAATATGATTGAGCCTCAACAAAAGCTTTAAGGATTATTCAGAAGAACTTCAGAGGGGTTTTAGTCAGAAACCGACTGAGAACACTCCATCATGCAGCTGCATTCATCCAAGGTCATATGAGGATGAGATGGCTTTCCACTCTTTTCCAGAAAATGAGATTTGAAATTAGAAAGATACAGCGATGCACTAGGAAGTTCCTTATCCGAAAGAAGAAGATGAAAGAGCGACTCATGGAATTCTTTCCACAAGAAATTGCCTCGCTTGAAAATGTGCGAAATGTTGAGAATTATGCAATGTTCGGAGAACCAGAAGAGGATGAAGACAAGAATAACTTTTTTAAGAATCACACTCCTTACAACCTGAAGAAAGTTAACCTTTTCAGTCAGATTGTTGACGTCCAGTTGCTATGTGACACAAGCGATGTGTACGAAACTCCTTGGTCTTTGCACTGGCTTCAATTATCCCAAGAAATGTTGACTAATGATACCCCAATTCAAAGAATTTCTCTTGGAAGTACACATACCTTAGCTGTGAATAGTAAATCCAAGCTGTATTCTTGGGGATGGAACGAATTCGGACAACTAGGAACTAGCCCTGATGAGGAAATGAAAAGAGAGATCAGACAAGGAGTCTCAGCTGCAAAGCAATTAAGTGTTCATGTCGACTCCAGAAACCCTGCCTCTGCCTTTGGAAGAGTCAAGCAGATTGTTTCAGGAGAAGACCATAACTTAATCAGAGATGAGAGCGGAAATGTGTTCGCTTTCGGAGATAATTCCAAAGGACAGCTTGGAATGGGCCATTATAAGGAAATTCATACACCAACGAGAATCCAGGCCCTTCCAGAAAACTCAGTCAAGGAGATTTCTACTTGTGGAAATCAGAACTTAGCATGAACTACCAGCGGGAAGGTTTATATCTGGCCTTGAGTGAAGGAAGGGCATAAGATCTCCATCCCCCAATGTATTGGATTAGAGTCTCCTAAGACAAAGATATGCAGTGTTAGTTGTGGATACAACTTTGGTGTTTTGCTTTCAACCCAGGGATTAGTGTATTCCTTCGGTAAAAACAACTCTGACGGCCAACTTGGCCACGGTGATAGAGATCCAAGAGGATTCCCTGAAATTATTGATAGCTTGAAGCAAGCAGGGGAGAAAGTAGAAGTAGTTGATTGTGGATTCAGACATGTCATTGCCAGAACATCTCTTGGAAAAATTTATACCTGGGGATGGGGCCTAAATGGGCAATTAGGACATGGAGAGAAATTTTCAGAACTTTCTCCAAGACATCTTAATATGGATACGAAGAAGAGAAAGAATAAATGCATCCAAATAGCAGCTGGATATGAACACTCTGTTGTGCTGATGGAAAATCGAAAGATTTACTGGTTCGGAAGAAATGGAACTTTGCTTGAGCCTACATATTCCCCAGCCAAATTTGATTTGACTATGAAAATTCCATCTATTTTCCCTTCAAGTGATCAACTCGGAGGAGCTACAAATCCGAATATAGAGTTTATTGTTACAAAAATCAATTGTTCATGGAATAAGACCCTGAGCTTAACTGATATTATCGTTGCTGACATTAGAAGTCTAGAAAATATAACTCCTCACCAGATCCAGTCAGCACTAAAGACTTTGTCAAACGCTTGGTGTTCAGATGAAATTGAGCCCCCTTATATTGAGTCGATTTCAAAATATTTCAGCGTGAACTCAATGAAAAAGCCAACTATCCCTCCCAAGACTAAGCCAAAACCCAAGAACGCAATGAAGTTGAGTCCAAGAGGAAAGAGGAGAATTTATTAATCATCTGATTCAATAATAAAACTTCCAGGTGGGGTTTTGGGGTTTTGGGGTTTTGGGGTTTTGGGG